GGCCGACTACTATGCCGGCGAAACTTCTGGGAATGTATCACGTCCACGGTCCGACTTTGGAAATAATTATGCATACAATGGACTCAGGACAAGGTGCGTTTCTCTAAGTCTTATACCATTATGATCAGGTTGCGAAAACAAGCTCAAACAACTTTTATACAACGAAAGAAGACTGCGACCACACAAAAGGCCACACCATCTTGGTCTTTATATCATCGATAAAGGATCATTATTTTTCAGAAATAAATGTGTCCGAACTAATTCTGATGGACTGCGTCAACCTGAACGTCGTATGAAAGCCAAACGGCTGCAGTAAAAGGGATTTAGCCGTCGTCCTGCGAGATCAACTTACAAATCCCTTCACCATGCCTACCAATATGACCATGTTGCAAAACAAGGTCAAACAAGCTCTATACAACGAAAGGAAACTGCGACTACACAAAAGGCCACACCATCTTGATCTTCATACCTTAAATAAATTTAAATTGATAAATTATTTAAATTATTTTAAAACTTTAAAATTTTAATAGAAGTTGATTGACCTTGTTTTCGCAATTTGGTCATTTTGGTAGGAAGACATAGAGGAACGCCCCTAATCCACAGTCCATTGTATGCATGATAATTTTCAGAGTCAGATAGTGGACGTGATACATTCTTAGGCGTTTCGCCGGCATCGTCAGTGAGTCCTGCCATTCCTAGCAAAACACAACTACTCATCAAAGAGACAAGTGAAGCCGATCCTTTGACCGATTGTCTGCTAAACAATCGTGTGTTTCCTTCACCTCTTGGCTAGTCACCAATCCTATATCCTCGATCACTCTTTCATTATCACAATTTTTACTTGTTTATTTAAATGTGGTATGGTGTGCTCATTTAGATGGCTTTAATGATAAGCTTCCACACTCCACTCTGGCTTTCTCACCCCCTCACCACCTTCACCCTTGTGCCGGGAATGTGGATCAGAGGCTGCCCTATTGTTCGCCGTCCTCCTTTCCTAGATCTTATTAGAGTCCCCATCTTAACCCGTAGGATCGGTCTGCTATCTAGGTTCAAGTATTTCCGTCGCGCCCGCCACCCCATCTGTGCTACTTCAGACGTTATTACCCCTCTACTGCGTCTGGGCGACTAATTTGAGGCTAAAGCCTCTAAGTAAGTATAATGGTCAATCCTTCATGGACCACGTCTATGGTAAAACCTACTGTCAGCCAACTAGCTCTAGTCTCTACCGCGTCTATCCT